TGCAGCTGTGACATGCTACCTCTCCCACTTCTGCTTCCCTGACCATTGCTAACCTATCACTCACTCAAAACTTGACCTTCCATCACTCAGCAGCATCTAGTCCCTTACAAAGCTGCACATTATGTTAAGGGCATGATATAAATGCAACTTCCTGTTGCTGACTCAGACACACCATGTGTGACTGATTGTGTCTCAAGCAATCCATGTGGCCATAGGTCTGCTTACCAGAAGCCAGTTAGCAAGGACAACCTTCCTTTAAACAAACATACTTTCTGAATTTGCATACACATTATAGTATCATACAGACAATAGTAAGTTACAATTGTCTTCTGTAACTCCAGTTCTAATTATCTGCTTTGCATATAACTTATTAAATTGTCATTCTACACTCATTCCAGAATCCTCATCGTTGTACACTATAATTTATATAGAAGCTGATATTTGGAGTAATTGCAATAGCCTAATAGATAAAGACATTCTATGGTATAGACCAAGAGATGCCATCAAACCAGCTCACTTTTTGATTATTATTCCTAATTCGAAGACTATGCTAAGTGAACTGACATAACTAAGACATCCAGTGGTTACTAGAAAATACTTCAATTCCCTGAAGATAGGGATTGAACACAATGAATAACCCTGGTGTTTCAGTAGACATCGGGCAGAATTTAATGCCCTGCCCTAGGGCAGGTTTGGAAGTGTAGAGATATTTATGCAGCTGTGTGGGATTCCACCACCTTCCTGCCTCAGCCCCAGTGAAGCCCAGTGGCAGACAGGCTCTTGGTTCTTCCTACTTCACTGCCGATCGATCAGTCACCAACATTCATAACCTTTTTGGGGGATGGGATTCTGCATTTCTACTGTGTTCTGTGTGAAAGTGAGCATCCTGACTTCACACCTTATATGGCTTTGCTCTAACTTTAAAATGACATCCTGCCATAACCATGGATCACCGACGGACCTATTGCGCTTTAATTAGAACATGTTTCTTTTTCTTTAAATCAAAGAACTATTGCAAAAGTGAGCGCTGATCTAAATTTAGTGACTGCCTTGAGAGAGAGAGAGAGACTTTGTAATGTCATACCTTAAGAGGTGTCAAAGAAGGGTCACAGGGAGAAAACACACTATAACCTGAATGTGTACACTCCTGGAGTATCTCAGACTGTGAGCATAATGTTAAAAAAGTGGTGAGAGATCTGTTTGCATTTTCCCACTTTCAAGCACACACAGGGTTTAGAAGTGAGTTTCAACCCTGATCTATGTATGTTAGTGGCCTGATGTCTTGTTATGTGGATTAGTATGCCGTGAAGGTCACAGCTCAAAGAACATGTAATCATCCATGCATTTCTATTTTCAATTGTGGGATGTGGGCATCACTGGCTGGCCAGCATTTATTGCTTGTCCCTAGTTGCCCTTAAGAAGGTTGTGGTGAGCTGCCTTCTTGAACTGCTGCAGTCCACCTGTGGGTTGATCTTTAATGCCTTCAGGGAAGGAATTCCAGGATTTTGACCCAGCAACAGTGAAGGAACAGCGATATATTTCCAAGTCAGGATGGTGAGTGGCTTGGAGGGGGTACTTGAAGGTGGTGGTGTTCCCGTGTATCTGTTGCCCTTGTCCTTCAAGATGGAAGTGGTTGTGGGTTTGGAAGGTGCTGTCTGAGGATCTTGGTGATGTTCTGCAGTGCATTTTGGAGAGAGTACACACTGCTGCTACTGAGCGTCGGTGGTGGAGGGAGTGAATGCGAGCTGCTTTGTCCTGGATGGTGTCAAGCTTCTTGAGTGTTGTTGGAGCTTGCACCCATCCAGGCAAGTGGGGAGTATTCCATCACACTCTTGACATGTGCCTTGTAGATGGTGGACAGGCTTTGGGGGGTCAGGAGGTGGGTTAATTGCCACAACATTCCTAGCCTCTGACTTGCTCTTGTAACCATTGTGTTTATGTGGCAAGTCCAGTTGAGTTTCTGGCTAGTGGTACCCTCAGGCTGTTGATAGGGGGGATTTAATGATGGTCACACCATTGAATGTCAAGGGCAGTAGTTAGATTGTCTTTTATTGGTGATGGTCATAGCCTGGCAATTGTGTAGCATGAATATTACTTGCCACTTGTCAGTCCAAGCCTGGATTTTGTCCAGATCTTGTTACATTTGAACATGAAATGCTTCAGTATCTGAGGATTCGCGAATCGTGGTGAACATTGTGAAATCATCAGTGAACATCCCAACTTCTGACCCTATGATGGAGGGAACGTCTTTGCAGGTAAAGCAAAGGAAAAAGACAGTCTCTCACTCTGGACAAAAGAATCAAGAGAAAAGAGTTTCAATCAATCTCCAAAGCCAAGAATTTCAGAATTGATTGTTCAACTGCGAATGTTAATACTACAGGAAATCTCCACTGTAACAGTCACAATATTCCTCTTAATGAACAGATTTTTTATTTTTACATTTTTCCTGAACTCGTATCTTTTGTCCAATCTGCATATTTCGACAGAATCTTAAAGGGGCCTGTTAGTCTGGGCTATGGCATGAGAAGTGCAGTGTGGGAGACCTTTCCCAATGTCAGGAGCAACGTGGGCATCAAGCTGAGATTCTGTCTAGGGAGCAACAAGGTGTCTATTAAAAGGGCCTAATGCTGGTTTTCAGGCTCATTTAATGCAGATCTTGCCTTATCAATACGCAGCTTCCTGTGTTACCACCATGTGAGGAGATTAAACACTGAGAGATCTAAGAAAATACCTTGAGATTCCAGCTCACTGCTTCCATACTTGAAACTCCATCTTGGAAACCCAGCAACAGTATCTTAAGGCACACTCATGGGCAGTGACTGCATGTTCCTACATCCACACACCTTGGCATCAGATAATTGCCCAATTTCATCATCAACATGGCATATCTCCGATCCACTTGAACCATGCTGCTGCATAGCCCTGCTCCACCTCAAGGTGCCCCAGCAATTATCTTCACAATGCTGTCACAAGGACATAGAGCACACAGGGACAGTCAACCATATTGGACTAGGCTGCATCTCAGTTCTGCTTGTTTGCTCTCGTAGACCTCACTCATCTTGAAGCTACCCAAATGCTCACAGTGTCCATTCCTTGCCGTGCCTTGCTTTTTTGCACATTGCTCCCTCAGCCAGAGTTACCAGACTCACTGTACTTCCATCCTACCTTGCCGTTTAACACAAACACAAAACCAAGCATCTTGTCATGTTGGCAACAGACCTTAAACAGGTCAACGGATATAGCCTTCAGTCAGGATGTTCCAGTACAGTAAGGCCCGGGCAGACTCCGATAGGGGCTTGGGCATGGTCAGTCAGCCAACTGGGATGGTCAGGATCCTCTCCTTGTAAAGGGTGAACAGCCAAATGTCAGATAGCCCTCTATCCACCTTGGTTCTTTCTACCCTTTGGTAGGCTGTATTCTGGAATAAGAGAAAGGGAGATGAAAGTAGATGGCATAGCTGCTGGTGCTGGTAGATGTAGGGGAATGGTGGTGAGTGCATAGAAGGTGAAGAGTCCATGCATGAATGGTAGTGTGTGGGTTTGTGAAGGGGGGGAGTGTGAAAGCAAGTTAGGGAGGATGTTGCATGTAATTCTGAGAGTGATGGAGCATGAGCTTTGATGGGAGACTGATACAGAGTTCGAGTGAGTGTGAGGAAGCAGCAAGATTATTTGGCATGACCAAGGCATGCATATCCTACCAGCAACTGTGGGTGGGAGAATCAGGCTAGTAGCATCAGAGGAGGGAGTGCCACATCGAATTGACTTGAATTGACTTGAATCGAATTGAATTGAATTGAATTGAATTGGCTTTATTGTCACAAGTGCAGGGTAAGAAGTTACTGAGGTGACTTTGGGATGATCGCACCAAGTAGCATTGCCCAAAAGAAACCTTCCGTGAAACTCAGTAAAAATTGACACGTCCAATAATCATCAAATTCAGCCTTAATTGTTGCATTTAACTATTTCATCTTACATTTAGAAATTAATAAATTCACTTTTTTGTTCATTCAAGAAAGCTTCATTAAATTGAGTCCTATCAAAATATTAATTGAGTATGGGGGAAAGGTATGCACAAGGGAAGGGATCACATTCTTTGACTAACTAAGGGGCAGGGTTGGGAACTTAAGGGTTTGAGGTGTCCTTTCTGGAGCCATAACAAATTGGGGAACCTGCCAAGGTACCTGGTCATAACAGTCTCCATGTTCTGTCTTCACCACGCAAAGGAAATTGTTTCTCTGTATCCACCCTTAAAATCCTGGACAGGCTGCCAGTCTCCAGGCCTTAAGATCTTTGTCAGGACAATAAAATTGCCTTGCCTTCAAAGGCATGCTTTGCCTAGATGCTTGGTCTCCTCAGATTCTCTATACAGAAAGAAGCTCAAGCACAAGGCTCAGAACCAGCTTTTTCAGGTACAGATGCCCCAGCTGTGTAGCACATGGCTATATTATGCTGAATCTTTCTTGAACATTAGCACTATGGATAACATTGGACTCTCGTGCACCATATTCATGCTCAGTGCCTCATTCATGAAAGTAAGGAAAGCCCCAAACACCTTTGCATGCCTGATCTTGACTGCTATTCATGACATCCTGGCAGCAGTATCTTCTTCTTGAGGATATGCAAAACTCAGGATAATTGGAAAACATTCCGCCAGAAACAAGTTTGTGAGAATAGCACTTAAGAAGCACTTGTATCATGCAACAGAAATTGCTGCTTGTTTTGTTTTATGTAACATTCATGAGTTGAATTTAATGTAATCTGTGTAACTGTGTGAAAGGCTGTTATGATAAAGATTTGAAACAGAAAATTAGGCTGTGATCGGTTTTCATGTGCTAATATAGTTTAACTTGAATTGTAAAGACAACAAAAAGCAAACTTTTCTCCAATACACTGTTTTGGATTTCATTAGCATATTATTTACAGACTGGCAAAAGTGTTTCTGTCACCCTCTTTGTGAATTGAGGATATCAGCTCTTAAACATAACCTTCTTTTATTTACAGGCTGGAGTCTCCAACACGTTCTTTGTGCATGGATGCACCAAAAGGAGTTCAGATCAAAGCAAGAGCTGGAAACGTTGAAGCCTCTTCTCAGAGGGACATTGTTTTTCATACAAGTGAAGGAACGGTGAGTCCAGATAAAATTCACAGTGGTATCTCTAGCACTGCTCAGGGTATCCCTGCAAAAGAATGAACTTTGAAATGTTTTCAAAATGACACTGGGTTTCAATTGTAGAATCAGGTTAGGAAGCAATTAATTAGCACAAACGTGAAGTTTGTTTTTAAGTCAGGGAAGAATGTTCGTCTTTTTGGTTTTAAATGATGGGTTTTGCATCTGCACTACAAAAGCGGTTTCAGTTTCATTCTTTTAACCTTGTTTGAAAGGCCAATCTGTATCTAATAATATTCTAGTGCCTGTTTGAACTTTCTGTCTGGGAGACATGTTTACAAGGCCTCTATTTAGGGAAGCACACATCTCTGAGATCTGAACGTTTGAGGTGAATTCTATGGAACTCCATTACCCATTTTCACCTCTGCCAAATCCCATTTTCACCTCTGACTCTTCTGGTATCCTGAAAGTTATGAACTATGGAGTGCCTCACATATGAGAAACTACAACAGAAGCTCAGAGAGATAGTTCATGTCAGCTGAGATTGCTGAATATTTTCCTGCACTTACAAAGGAGTCCTGGTCTTCCAGGATGCAACAGCCATCTCTGTCCATTCAAAATTCAAAATAGGTTTCAAGCCCACCTGTCCCAAAATAGGCATCTCTGCTGCCAGAGGGATAGAACACTGAGGATAATGGGACAGTTGGGAAGATATGGTGTGGTCAGCTAAGCTTTCTTCGGAATTAGAAGTTCATGGCCACTATCCTTAAAGGAAAGACGATCACAGAGAAGCAGATTGGGTACAGGAGCCCACATGAGCAGCACATTGGAAGGCCAGGACAACAAGGTGCAGGGCTGGATGAACACAGCAGGCCAAGCAGCATCATAGGAGCAGAGAGGCTGACATTTCGGGCCTAGATCCTTCATCAGAAAAGGGGGAGGGGAAGGGGGTTCTGAAATAAATAGGGAGAGAGCGGGAGGCTGATAGAAGATGGATAGAGGAGAGGATAGGTGGAGAGGAAACAAACAGGTCGAAGAGGCGGGGATGGGGCCAGTAAAGGTGAGCGTAGGTGGGGAGTTAGGAAGGGGATAGGTCAGTCCAGGGAGGACGGACAGGTCAAGGGGGCGGGATGAGGTTGGTCGGTAGGAGATGGAGGTGCGGCTTGAGGTGGGAGGAGGGGATAGGTGGGAGGAAGAACAGGTTAGGGAGGCAGGGACGAGCTGGACTGGTTTTGGGATGCGGTAGGGGGAGGGGAGATTTTGAAGCTTGTGAAATCCACATTGATACCATTGGGCTGCAGGGTTCCCAAGCGGAATATGAGTTGCTGTTCCTGCAACCTTCGGGTGGCATCGTTGTGGCACTGCAGGAGGCCCAGGATGGACATGTCATCTGAGAAATGGGAGGGGGAGTTGAAATGGTTCGCGACTGGGAGGTGCAGTTGTTTATTGCGAACCGAGCGTAGGTGTTCTGCAAAGCGGTCCCCGAGCCTCCGCTTGGTTTCCCCGATGTAGAGGAAGCCACACCGGGTACAGCGGATGCAGTATACCACATTGGCAGATGTGCAGGTGAACAAGTTCAAAATCTCCCCTCCCCCTACCGCATCCCAAAACCAGTCCAGCTCGTCCCTGCCTCCCTAACCTGTTCTTCCTCCCACCTATCCCCTCCTCCCACCTCAAGCCGCACCTCCATCTCCTACCGACCAACCTCATCCCGCCCCCTTGACCTGTCCGTCCTCCCTGGACTGACCTATCCCCTTCCTAACTCCCTACCTACACTCACCTTTACTGGCTCCATCCCCGCCTCTTCGACCCGTTTGTTTCCTCTCCACCTATCCTCTCCTCTATCCCTCTTCTATCCGCCTCCCACTCTCTCCCTATTTATTTCGGAACCCCCTTCCCCTCCCCCTTTTCTGATGAAGGGTCTAGGCCCGAAACATCAGCCTCTCTGCTCCTATGATGCTGCTTGGCCTGCTGTGTTCATCCAGCCCTGCACCTTGTTGTTTTAAAAATAAAAGGACTTCTTTTAAGCCCAAATTTATATTTGACTTGGAGTTTATTTTGTTGGGAAAGGCAGGGTAGGTATGTTGTTTCTTAAAATAGAGTCGTCAGGTTATAGAATTCCTACAGTGTGGAAACAGGCTCTTTGGCCCAACAAGTTCACACTGAACCTCAGGGCATCTCACCCAGACTCATCCCCCTAATCTACACATCCCTGAACACCATGGGCAATTTAGCATGGCCAATCCACCTAACCTGCACATCTTTGGACTGTGGGAGGAAACCCATGCAGACACAGGGAGAATGTGCAAACTCCACACAGACAGTCACCTGAGGGTGGAATCAAACCCAGGTCCCTGGTGCTGTAAGGCAGCAGTGCTAATCACTGTGTTACTGTGCCACCCTGATGGCCCTTAGATGTTTTCTTGTTGTGTATGTGTATTTGTATGTGCGTGTTTGTGTGTATGTGTTTTGTGGATTTTAATACTTTTCTAATCTTGTTTAGTGAACTTTAGAGATAGTAGGAACTGCAGATGCTGGAGAATCTGACATAACAAGGTGTAGAGCTGGATGAACACAGCAGGCCAAGCAGCATCAGAGGAGCAGGAAAGCTAGAAGAAGGGTCTAGGCCCGAAATGTCAGCCTTCCTGCTCCTCTGATGCTGCTTGGCCTGCTGTGTTCATCCAACTCTACACCTTGTTATCTTAGTGAACTTTAATTTGTTTGTACAAACCCATGGAATCATATTGTCTTATAATCTTACTATGTTCTAAGGATCACAAACATTGCCTATTTGAAAAATTGCTGGCCCACAGCCAGATGATAATTTAGAGGACTTGCCTCAGATTGTAACAGGATAAAAGTTAGATTTTGTTTCAGTGACACCTTGATTGTGTGATTAAAAACACTTTATAACAGAGATGCGGAAATAACAGGGATGCAGAAATATCTCAGGTCCTTATAACAGAGGCCAACAGGTTCAGAGGCGGCAAGAGAGAGAGACAGAGCGAGAGCAAGAGAGAGAGCAATATTGATCCTGGATTTGGGCCAATGCAGTTTTGTCCTCTTTTATATGTTGACAGACTATAAGCAATCAATTACAATGATGCCTTGATCCCATTGAAGGTAACTTGGAGAAAATGTCAAAGCCTCTGACCTTTTAAATTTGGACAAGTTAAATGTAAAAATATACACATTTCACTTGTAAATACCAGATCTAATGTGTCTTATGAAGATCTGAATCCATGTCGATATGTACACTAAGAGAAATTTTGCAATATTTTTTGAAACCTAAAATGGTATCTTTTAAAAAATAATGGGTAGAATTTCCTTGTAAATTTTCCAGAAGATGGCCACTAAACTCAAAATAACTTTTTAAATTCAGGTTTTGGCAGATCTTTGTTCAAAGTCAAGGGTGGCTGATTAGGAAAACATCTAAGGACCTGACCACTCTACTTTAAGAAGTGACATACCTACCCTGCCTTTCCCAATAAAATAAACTCCAAGTCAAATATAAATTTGGACTTAAAAGAAGCCCTTTTATTTATAAACTGGCTTTCTTTTATTTGACTGGTTATCACATATGTGCATATCATAGAATCCCTACAGTGTGGAAGCAGGCCATTTGGCCCATCAAGTCCACACCAACCCTCAAAAGATCAATCCATCCAATAACCCTGCATTTCTCAGGGCTAATCCATATCCCTGGACACTACAGGTAACTTTAGATGGCCAATCCACATAAACTGCACATCTTTGAACTGTGGGAGGAAGCTAGGGCACCCGGACACAAGGAGAATATACAAACTCTACACAGGCAAGCACCTGAGGTTGGAATTGAACCCAGAACACTCATGCTGTGAAGCTGCTGTGCTAGCCACTGAGCCACCGTGCTACCCTATTGTTTCAAAACGTATCCTCTACTTTCATATGCTTTCATGATTCAATGATGACAACAGCTGTGTGGGACCTTGAACATTTGAGCAGTATAGGACGAGTTATAAGCAAGAAATTCAATTATAGAATCAGCCCTTGTACTGCCACTAATTGTAATACTGTGGGGTAAAAATTCATCTCGGGTGTTGTCACAAAACAGGCTGTATTGGATTAGTCACAGTGATATGCAGTTCCACTGACTGCATTCTACATGTTTTAACCTTCAAAATATCTTGCAGCCTTTAATGGTCTGAATGACTCTGCACAACCTGTTGTAAATGGGTCTGAAACTCATAAGATTGAGGAGTGCCATAAACACTATCCACTATGATGATGAGATAGTAGGAACTGCAGATGCTGGAGAATCTGAGATAACAAGGTGTAGAGCTGAATGAACACAGCAGGCCAAGCAGCATCAGAGGAGC